GACAAATTTGTTCTATGCTTACAAAATGCACTAAAATTAGGAATGTCGATTATGTCAGCTTTATCTGTTCTTGTTTCTGTAAGGCACACTATATCATATTTATTTATAAAATCAAGAAAATCAGGAGATTGGAGTTTTGAATTTAACCCACATACATTAATGGATATCAATCTTACTCTAGATGCGTCTTCTGGTTTGAGAGAGTTACTTGAAAAGTTTTTAATTTCATTTTCTATTATTTGTTGTTGCTCTCCGTGGTTTACCTACATCGGAACGTTATCGGAACCTGGATCAGCCACAAATCTACCTGCTGGTGGAAAGATTTGTTTACCTTCTACGAAAAGTTTGTCCACAATCATCACAGCCTTCTTTCCAAGTTTTTTTGCTTTTTTGTAGTGAGGGTATAGGACTCTCCTGCGCTCGTTAATTTCCTTGGGGAATTGCTCATTCACTCCAAATGCTTTTCCCTCTAGGGTTGATGGGGCGGCCTTTCTTATTTTTTTCTCCTATACATATTGTGCATGTGGTCGGCAACGATGTACGCTATGAAAATATGCATATTTTGTCGCCAAAAGCGTATCTGAATACCCGGTAATTTAAGAACCGAGAGAGAGAGAGAGAGATTCGTGGTATTTAAAAGTGCAAGTTGTATCTTAAATAGAGCATTTTAACGCAATTTATGTTTCATTAGAGTTAAAAAATGACAATTGTGTATAATTTTTTTTCTTTTAGTGAACATGCAATTTGAAAACTAAACTGAGATAAAATTTTCGATTTGAATACCATTTTTGCGTTAACTCACGCATATCAATATACACAGAGAAATTCTGTGTGATTTACACACCAATTACATTCACAAAACTATTTTTAACAAAATCCGTACAACCCTAAATGTGGGGCGACAATGTGCAATTGAGAGTGGGCACATATTGTAACCGTTGACAATATGTACAGTTTTTCATCCGGCGACAGTACGTGCCAGTGGACGACATTAAAAAATGTGGAATAATTTTTGTGCAGGATTGCTAAAAAAGATGGCTTTTTTTTTTGTCCTTTACAAAATATTATAGGCGATCTAGACTGAGGTGACCAAATTTTATCATATCGGATAATCCCATGTCTGTGAAATGAATCATGTGCATAGTCATATTACTCTTGGCGATGTCTAATTAAAGTATAACATTTTTCTCTCTGCATCACCCATTTCTTGGAATGTATATAGATTTAATTAATATTACAAATTAACAATCGGATCTGCAGATTAATTATTGAGAAAATCATTTCCTCAAGCTAGTGAAAAAAATAATACAGTTAAACAAGTTTCAGCGTATAGTATTAAGCATAACTTCAAGAATAAATATTACACCACCTAAGACGTAGAGTCAGAACAGTTTAACTTCGGTATCGCGAACACGGATATCTCGAATACCATGGATATGTCGAGGTGATAGGGAAGTCCTTACCACGTATTTCTTAAGTACATTGTATGTTACCCTCGAACCCTCGGATATTTCTCAATCTCATCAAGTTCGAGATAACGAGGTTTGAATATATATATATATATATATATATATATATATATATATATATATATATATATATATATATATATATATATATATATATATATATATATATATATATATATATATATAACAAATTACATAATTCTTCATGATAAATATTAGGTTTATATATTTTGTTCACAAGAATTATAATTCTAAACGTTGTTACAATCACTCATCTTAACTTATAAGTATGGTATACATGTATGTATGTATGTGCAAATTCTGGGTTTTCGCAAATTATGACTAACACTATTATATTATGTACATTAAACACCTTCATAAACAAGGATAAACAGCTTACAGTATCTTAAAAAGAATGAAGGTGCAATAATCACTCAAAGAGTCATATAAAAATCACCAGTAATTTCTAATCAAGTATAACAAATTGAGAAAGAGAGAGAGCTTGCTTCATTTGTTCCCTTAGAAAAAGATTTTAAAAATATTTAAGATATTATTCTGATTTAAAGTACATGTATATCAGACATGGTGTATATTAAACTTTGTTGAAAGGTTCCTACAAGAGATATTGCCCCAAAACGGGTTTTTTTAATATCTTTCTCCACAATTTTCCTTCTTTATGCATACTTTTTAAGCACCGAGCATCAATTTAGGCCCCCGCAGTGTGTGCATGCTATTTTGCAGACAATTTCCTGTGAGGAACATTTTGTCGCCCCTGCACATATTGTCGCCGGGGACAGAATGTGCAAATTTTGAAGTCGGCGATAATATGTGCAGATATTCGCCTTATTTTTTGTTTCTCTGCCAAATGGGTGACAATATGTGCATAAAATTTTGCATACATATTACATTAAAAGTTTACAAATGAAGTTTAAACTTATCTTTAACTATCTTTCTAGATACGCTTAAACTTCAGATTTAAACTTCTAATGTAAAAACAACTTGTCGTCGGCGATAATATACTTTTACCCTTATTGTCGCCATGAAAATAGTTTTAAAGAGCATGCAATTTTCGTTAAGCACTTATGGTCATAGGACACCCAAAATCTAGAGAAAGTGGGGATTTGATAGTACCAACTTGTTTCTTTCTTTCTTTTTTTTTTCTTTCAAGTTAATTTGTTACAAGGTTAAAAAAACAGAGTAAATTTGTATCTGTTCTGGAGATTTCATTTTTTTTTTTCTTCATGTTTTTGCATTGAATTTCAATTTAAGCAGAAGAATAGATTTGGAGAGATTGAAAAAAATAAGGTTGGTATGAAAGGGAAATCTTGTGATAAATATGTGTTTTAGCAAAATTACCCTGCACAATATGTTTGGTAGACTTCTATAACATATTTCTTTGAGTTTTCTATACCCTAAAACTATTTTTTGCAATGATGAATACTTATTTTCTTGAAACTTCAAGAATAAATAGATCTTTATCTTTCAAACTTTAAACAATGATAATTTTGTTGCTGTATCAGACTTTAAAGTTGAAAATTGCGTTTATCTATTATGATTTCTCATTGTGGCTTTTTATATGAATAAGGAATATAAAATTCAGGAGGAAGGTTATTATGAGGAACTCGTGTAATACAGGTTGTAACGGTGATTACAAGTTATCTGTGTTTTAAAACATGGACAAGAACTTTCTACAGGTGTCAACATTAAGATGATATTTCAGTGCATTAATTTAAAAAAAAATATGCACGTGTACAGTTGGTAACTACATATCGTTTAATCTAAGGGTTTTTTTTTTTTTAAAATTTACATGTAACTATGCCCAATATCTCAATTTATTTTGAACAAGAACGTCATTAAAATTCGGCTTTGTAACTTTTTTTGAGTGAAATATTCTTAGTGAGTAAGCAATTCAAGCACAATCAACCCATCACTGAATTTATTCATCAATCGACGAATGGTCAAATTAATTTTAAATGCGATCACCATTATCATCATATAAACTCTAAAGATCAAGGCGACAGTATGTGCTGCAAGGATCAGCACACTTTGTCGTTGGCGACAATATGTGCATGTAGGTATTTTTTTTTCTCTGGGTGATAATATGTATCAAAGGGCGACATTATGTACAGTGCACCTCTGCACATAATGTCGCCGGCGACAATGTGCAGTGGCGACAATATGTGCCGTCACAGTTCCAGTATTTCAATGCACAGAACATTGCAGCATATTGCATAGAATACCATGCATTGATGTTTACCGCTATACCAGAGAATATTTTGTTATGGATGACCTTTATTTGTCACTTAAATCTTTTATTTGTTTAACCATGGGTATTTTGGGACTGACTTCAAGGCAATTCAATGGGATTAAATTCACTCGGCTACACCCGGAGGAGATCGAGTCAGTGAACATAATACCTAAAAGTTTCTTATTTCATGAACTATTTCTTTTATATGAACAACAAGTCGATCTTCTCATTTCTTTCTCTCCAATTAATAATTTTTCCTCTTTGTTTGTTAGCTTTGGGTTTATTTGTTGTTGTTGCTTTGTCTTTGTTTTGTATGTTTGTTTTTGTTAATTTTAATTTTTTTGTTTTGTTATTTGTTTGTTACTGGTTCTTGCATGTTTTGTTTTTGCTTTATTTTGCTGTTATTGATATTTTTTATGCATCAAATTAAATCTTCTGTAAAGATTTGATAACCTGGTATCTGTAAAGGCTTGTCACGTTTCTCTTAACAAATATTCATAACATTCTGAGATGGATCTAAATTTTTATTAAAAGGAGTGGTCGAAGTGCGACAACTCTCCGTCACTTTGTGACTCGTATTTCAGGAAATGTTTCAAGCGAGGGAGATACTAGAAAATATAATTATTTTTTCCTTGTAGTTAACGGAAGTCAACGTTTTCACGGTTATTTCATTGAACATGTGATGTCTTATATACAAGCTGTCACTTTTTCGCTCGCTCTCTCTTCTTTCTTCTTCTCCCAATATAGCAGTGGGTTTAAACTTAAGTATCTTACTGAATCAGTAATTATTGACAAATTTTAACGAGGTTTGTTTTAGAAAGATATTTCTTTGATTAGAATTTTAAAAAACAAACAAACAAAAATCCGCTATTGATCTCGTTCTAAGATATGACACCATCAAAGTAATTCTGTAAGCTATCTCATGTAAATACATTTTAAATTGGGGAAGTAAAAGTTATACATGATTTATAGGTGGGTTTAGACATATTTTGTGACTGAGAGTATTTGTATTGTATTTACAGTGCACAGTGTATGGACGTTATCAGAGAAATGTGATAGCAGTGTGCCAGATGCTTGGCATGATTGTTAGACAAAACAAGTAAGCACGTGCGTGCTCCCCAAACAAGCGATCTAGGTAGGTCCTATATCGATGATCGATGTAATTGCATAACCATTTATATATTGTTTTTGTTTTTCCCTGCAGCTGAGTGTGCACAACAACAAGACCAGGGAAATTTTAGCCTTTATCCACGCCAGCAACTTTGAACAAATTGCACTTTTTACAACTTAGACCTTCCATTTAAATGCAAAAATGTCCAAGTGCATTTCTTTTTAAATCGAAATATTCTAATTTTAGTAACAGATGAGTCAATTTAGGCATCCGTTGCCTTGAATAGAAGGAAAAGAATGAAGGAAAGGCTAAATATAGATCGCTACAAAACAAAAACGGAGTGCCAGATTTGATGGTATACGGATAAGTAAATTCCCTGCCACTCCAATGAAAGGTGAGTAATCATCAATTACGTTCATGTATATTTCCATGTAAGTGTCCAGTTGTTAACTTGCGCTGAGTTAGTTTGCCTTAGATATGTTCAATGTATAATATACATGTACCACCAAACGGTATTTGAACTGATTCACCGATAGGATAAAACAATGGTTCCCTTATGATTTGAATATCCTGGGATGGTATAATACTTAGGGTGCATATAGGTAGTCAATGATGTACTTATTGATTTTGACTCTTTATACATGTACATGTATGTATGTAGGTAAAATGAGTTTTCTTCTAAGCTATGATTTTTCACTTTCTTATATCCCTTTACTTGGATCTATCAATAAATTTAGAATTTATTTAAGGTGGACAAAGTTTACAGCATGATAATTAATACATGAATCATTAATAGAAATTCTGCTGTTTAATGTTTTAATAGCGAAATAAGTTGTAGGAAGAGTCATTTCCTATTTTATTATTATTATTATTAACTAGATACAGCTGTAAGTAAACGTACTACAATATGCATAAACACAGGAAAAATAACATGGAAAAATAAGTATGATTCCCTTTCTTATTTTTTTTTATTTGTGTTCTTATTTGATATAAAAAACTAGACATACATACAAAACTAAAATTTCATGTAAAGCGATATAGCTTTATTAACTACATGTAGTTTGATGTTATATTTTCATATACGATACTTTCAGTGACTGAGTATTCCTTGAAATGTTCATGCACTTTGCGTATTTTTATCTCCAATTGCAACCTTGGGCATTTGTCTTGTTTATTCTATCCAAGTTTTTAAAAAATCTCTTTTTAACTATTTATTAAGCACATAATAACAAATCCAACGCATGCACAGCGAAAAAAATTATTGCACATTTTTTTAAAATGCTGAAATTAAAAATGTTGCAGCAATTAATATACGTCCCGGTTAATAGAATACGGGTATCCGTTGAAAGAATTCTTAAACAATCAATCAATCAATTTTTTTTAAAAAATGTAAGTATTTATGAATACTAAATAGCTTGATTAAGTGTTTTTAATATTTCTGTAAACTTCCATGTAATAATGTTAATAGTAGGAAGAACGTGTGAAGCTTTTTGATATATCATTTTGAAAACAGGCATTAAAGAATTGTATGGTGGAAGTGAATTTAACTAGTTATGGATATTTTAGAACAGGGCGGAAATGGAAATATATCTGATTATACATATTTTATCTTTTGTGGTAATTTCCTTCTAACAATTAGTTTATTTTTGGCAAAAACAAGAGAGGAAGTAAAAAATAAGAGGAAACCTTTTTTTAGCCGACATAAATTACAATACAGATGTATATACATTTATTTTCTATGTTTCTTTCCAAGTTGATTTGGAAGTAAAACTAAATTGTTTCTTTTATAAATCTACACTAAGATTTCCAATGTTTTAATAATTTATTGAGAGGTCAAAAAATGAAGCTGTGAGGTGTTGGGCTGCAATTGCAATGTACTTTGTTTCTACGTCACGCTTTGCATTCATTATTCCTCACTTTAGGCGGGATCATCCCCCACGAAACAACAACCTATATTAGCTATATCTAATTTCCTTTCGCTGGTGTTCGTCACTTATAATAAAAACACCAAAGGCTGGATTCTCGAACAGATTGCGTTTTGCCTAATTCTTGACCGTAACTGTTGTCTTCGGCCTATAGAACGGCCACAGACAAACAGTTTGGTTCAAAACGCATTATGCCCCTGAATACAGTCAATGAATGCATATCAGAAAACTACTGAAGCTGTGTAAATTAAGAGAATTCACATTTTTGCTCGATGAAATGATATTTAGGCGACAAGAGACTGTATATAAAAACTCTATAATTTAATACGACAAATCCAAATCTAAAAAAACTGTGACATGAATCATCAAATGTCTTATGTAACTGCCCTGGGACAAGTTGGAATAACTTTTGAGCCCTTGAAAATTATTGATTAAACGATTGAAAGTTGCTGAGTAGGAAGAATTCTTAATATATAGTCCACACATATACTGGGGCAATAGTTACCACTAATTAGTTGACACTTTTCTGGTTAAAACTATCACTTACTGGTGCTAACGAATGGGGTGTATATCAAATTGAGAGTACAAGCCTAGGATCAGCGTTAACTAATCTATCGATCACATTCTCTCACACGAATAGATACCAAGGAACAGAGGGGAAAAAACTACAATAAACGAGGTTTTCTGACTGATTGATTTCTTACAATTTCTTAGAGACAGGGGATCGAGTAGTGCAGCAATATATGCACGTACTCATTAACTGTTCAATATAATTATCTGAAAATATCCAAAATACTCAGTAAACGTAAATTAAAATTTTAATAATCACGGGCTCAAGGTTCGAGCTGCATGACCCTTGACATTTACATGTATATCACGAGCTTGATTGCAGTTGCACACGAATGACACGATATAATTCGTATACATATACATGTTAAGTTAACAGTATGCTTGAAAAGCTTTCACATTTGACGTTTGTTTGGCTTATGAAATCCAAAAACATAAAATCTTAAATTCTCTTCCACTTGTTTTTCCCCCAAGAATCGCACTTCATTCAGTAATTTTGCCTCTCTCTCTCTCAGAGAGAGAGAGAGAGGGGGGGGTAAACGTGATTGCACAGATGTATATCTCTATATCTCTGTGTTTGAGCGGTAAAGCTTAAGAATTGAATTGCATATAGGTATGCTATTTTTTATCGACTGACTCTATTTGCGGTATTTTATTTCCTTTTTAGACTGCTATATTAAATCGACTATAACTATTTTTGGATGTTTCCTCAAAATTTCAATATACATGTGTAATAATAAATATTTTAACAAATAAGATTATGTTGAAGAAATACAAAATATAGGAAAAATTTAGCAAAACTTAAACTGAACTTGGTTTTTATGTGTTATAATCAATTCTGCTTCATATTAGTTTACAGAATTAACGAAGATATGCGGACTCCATCAACCTCCCATCCCCTCAAACAATCCTTTTTACAAAAATATAGCATTTGACTTAAGATTAAGAGTGATAAACATTGAACAAAACATCATAATCTCAAAAAGAAGCATGTTAATTAACTATATAATAAATGTTATGTGCATGCGTTACATGTATATACCATCTTTTTGCCCTTCCTTCCCTGTTCAGTCTTATTGGAAAACAATTTTAATGTACTGATTTGGGGGGGGGGGGGGATACAATTACAATACATTAATTCTGACTTACAATTGATCTTTTATGACATTATAAAAAATCTGTCAAAACCAACTCTGAGTTTAGATTTGTCACGTGCTATTCTGACTTGATTATGTGTTACGCCAATTTTTTCCAGGAAAAGAAAGGTAAAAGATATAATAAGTGGCCTAGGAAAACAAGAATGTTATACTGATAATTAAAAAAGATTAAAAAACCAGAGGAAACTCCTCATCGTGATATATTCAGGGGATTACATCATCTTACATTGTTTTTTGTAGAAGTGATATACACTGTACATGTACAACACTAGAGGAAAAAAATAATATAAATTCAAAACTCCAAGAATTTAACATATTTAAGATCCCAAACAATGTATTTCATGAACAAGAAGAATACACATGTACCCTAATATCGAGTGACTTATTGTTCTCTAACTCTGTCTAACATAACTTTATAACATAACAGGAGAACCGGCGTCTTAATAACTATTCTTCCTCAAAAATTTGCAATTCCCTTTATTCTGTTACATTTATATCTTTATGCTTTTCAAAGAAAGTTTTTTTTTTAAAAAAATGCAAGAATTAAATTTCTTTTAAAATATATATATATATATATATATATATATATATATATATATATATATATATATATATATATATATATGGCGTTCAACTCGACATTTAGATATATCGACGACGTATTGTCAATTAACAATGGCTATTTTCATTCTTATGTCGATACGATATATCCTGGTGAACTTGAGATAAAAGATACCACAGAGTCTGACACATCTGTTTCATATTTGGATATTTTACTTGAAAAAGACGTTAATGGTAATCTAACAACCAAGCTTTATGATAAACGTGATGACTTTAACTTTTCAATCGTCAACTTCCCTTACTTATGCAGCAATATACCTTCATCACCTGCATACGGGGTATATATTTCTCACTTGATTCGATACGCAAGAGCATTCTCTACGTATGTACAATTTCTAAAACGAGGTAAATTATTGACAAATAAGTTGATGAAACAAGAATATCAGCTGTCTCGTTTAAAGTCATCATTTCGTAAGTTCTATGGTCGATACAATGACCTTGTCAGCAAATACAATTTATCATTGAGTCAAATGCTGACTGACGTTTTTCATACTAATTGTTAGGCCATTATTTACACACTGAATTGTCGACGGATTTTTCCGTTATTTCCCGATCATGACAAGGAGCACACGGCGGGTGTGACCGGTCGGCAGGGGATGCTCACTCCTCCATGGCACCTGATCCCACCTCTGATGTTTGGAGGTCCGTGTTTGCTCTGCTCCTATTTTGTATTGTATAATGGACTTTCGAGCTTGAATACTGTTCGTTATCTCCATATATTTCATATAAGAAAGAATAGGATCGTAGCTATGTTTTTTTTTTCTCTTCCGACTTGTATTTTTATCGTTGTACTATATATATTTATACGGTCCGTTGTTTCACTAGTGTATTATTTGACAGAAAACTACTTGGCAAAAAAGTGTATATTTTCCTTGTTAATCAAAGGTATGGTGTCTCTGACAGTTGTAAAATACCCCTTCATCTCAGAGGAAAAGAGGAAAGGAAGATTAGCGGTCTCGTGCATGCAAGCTCCTCCCATAGTATGCTAAAATTTATTCAGGTATGAATAGGATTTAAAATAGGTTTCACTTGACACAAAAGCGTGGTCATCCAGTGATCGAGTTTTATCTATTTGTTGATATTCAAAATTGTGCTATGTAATGCTCTGGACTCGACATACATGT